GTGTCGAATCGTACGGTGTCGAATAATTTCGTGTCGAATAAATCTGTGTCGAATCGAGCGGTGTCGAATCGTACTGTGGTCAATAGAGTATCACCCCAAGAAAAACCTGCTGGTGCAACAAGGAGGCTTTTACCGTACATCATCAAGCTCATATTCCTCACAGCTTTATTATCTCGAATTATCGAGTAAACATGAAACGGGTTAAAACAATGGTGCTGATTTCCACGGATAATCTCGAAAGAATGTAACAACAAATGACGGGGGAAAATACCACTGCTAATACGCACGCACTCCCGGAACCGTGCTCTTGCGTCTCGACGCGGAAATGAGACGTATTCTCGATTCCCCTGTTGATGAAGGTGAAAAATGGAAATTGTACAGCGAAGTACTTCGTCGATATCTGTATTTTATCCAAAAAACAAGCGCAAAGAAGAAGATCCATCCGTGGCGGAAACAACTCCTGTGACAGGTGAAGAAAGGGAAGAGGAGGAGGACGAGGAAATGAGAGAACTATTTCACGACGCGGAAGAACCACTAGACGCTTTGCCTCAAACATCCTCTGTTTTACCAAAACAATCATCAACACCATTACAACACAATAATAATAATAATAGTCAATATCAACGGATTAATCAGTCAACTCCGAAGAAAAATGTATCGTTTGCAGATATTTTATTTAACAACAGCAGCAGCGCAACGAGCTCTCGCGAACAAAAAACTATAACAAACCTAATAAAAACAATTCCAAAAACTTACCGCCCCAAAGCGCGAATGCTTTTGAATCATCTGATCGAAACGGCTGCTTCCGTCAAGATCACATGGAACAAACGCGGCATCGTGACCAAGAGTCCAGAATTGGTGGGAGCAATTATTGTGGAACTCGTGAACGATGCGATGCGAGAAAGAAAAACCGCTGGAATACTGGGAGCCATTCATTTCGCTCATTTACTTCGCGACATAAACATGCCTCCTCAATACGTGGAAAATCTTAAATATTTACGCTTTTTGCAAAAAGGAGGAAAAAGAACAAAGCGCAAATCTCCGCATAGTATTGAAC